CATCCACTTCTCCAGCCTGATCGGCCGCCTGCCTCTCTGCAGCCTTGGGCTACCTGGACGTGCGCATCGTGGACACAGACTACAGCTCCTTCGCAGTGCTTTACATCTACAAGGAGCTGGAGGGGGCCCTCAGCACCATGGTGCAGCTCTACAGTGAGTGCCTGTCCCACCTCCCCCCACTGGCCCCTCCCCCACTCCTCACAGGCCCCGCCCCCATCCGTTCTGCACCACCCCACTCCCCACCCACCTGCCAGCCCCGCCCCTTCTCACAGGCCTCACCCTCACCTCCTCCGGGGAGCCCTCCACTTTTAGGCCGAGTTTATGCCCCGCCTCCTCACCCCCGGGCCCTCCCCTTCTGGTGCTGCCCCATGCCCTCTCCTGCTGTGACCTCACACACTCCTGGCCTTGCCAGGACCAGGTGCAGCGGGAGCTGGAGGCGTGCGGTGCTTTGGATGTGGAGGAGGTTGGCTGCGGGGGGTCCCGCGGTGCGTGCTCCTCTCTGGCCTCCTGAGAGCGCGGTGCCCCGCCCTTCCCTGCCTGGCCTCGCTGCCTGAGTTCCGGGGCTGGGGCTGAGGTTCTTTAACTCCTGCGGATTCCCAGGGTAGAGCGGACCGGGTTAGGCTGGAGGCTTCCGGGCTGCAGGGAAAGATGCTCAAGGGGGAGTGGGGCCCATGAGGACAGCCAGACCACCCCGACCTCCCGGACACCTTGGTGTGGACTGGGGAAGGAGGCCCCAGGTTTCCTTCGGCCAGGCAGGAGCTTTATGCAGCGCACAACCTGCCCAACCCAGGGTGGTGGCCTTGCTGTCAGCCCTCAGGGAGGTGGAGTAAGGCCAGGAGATCCCCTGCTGCACTCCTGTGAGCTGCTGGGTTCACAGTGACCTCCGCTCTGCCCAGGCCGGACCCAGGACGTGAGTCCCCAGGCTCTGAAGGCCTTCCAGGACTTCTACCCGACCCTGGGGCTCTCCGATGACATGATGGTCATGCTGCCCAAGTCAGGTGCCCTGGCAAGCCCTGCCCCTCCCATGCCACCCCGTCTGGCCCTCCCCTCCCATGAGCCCACCCTTCCTTCCCCTCACAGCACAGGCAGTGTGCGGGCAGCAGGGGCTCTTCTCTTCTAGGGGTGGGCTGGCAGCCCCTGCAGCCCCTCCCCCACCTCCCCCAGCACAGACTACGGGAGAGGCTTTGGGCAGCCCTGGGAGGGAGGCTCTGGGCCCCACTCTCTGGGGGTGGTGGAGCTGTCCAGTGGCGCTTGGCACCCAGGGGTTGGGGGCTGCAGGAAGCGAGGGCAGTCCTGGCCATCAGCATCTCACGGATGTCTTCCTCCCCACAGACGCCTGCAGCCCTGAGAGCAAGGAGGCACCCTGACACCTCTGGAGCCCCGCCCTGGCCCTTCCCAGGTGGGTTCTCCAGGCCCTGCAGGGGCTGCCCTGGTTGCCTCTCCCCTCCCTGTCGCAGCTTGACATCTGCTTGTGTCTGCCCCGTGCCTGCCCCGCTGTTTTGCCTGGTGACCCCATGCTTCAGGCCTCAGCCTAGACATCGCCTCTCCCAGGAAGCTTCCCTTGACTTCCTAAGGTACCCATCACAGAGTACCACAAATGGGGCGACGTGAAACAGCAGAAGTTTGGCTGGGTGCAGTGGCTCGCGCCTGTCATCCCAGCGCTTTGGGAGGCCGAGGCAGGTGGATCACCTGCCTCGGGAATTCAAGACCAGCCTGACCAACATGCAGAAACACTGTCTCTACTAAAAATACAGAACTTAGCTGGGCGTGGTGGTGCACATGCCTGTCATCCCAGCTACTCGTGAGGCTGAGGCAGGAGAATCGCTTGAACCCGGGAGGCGGAGGTTGCGGTGAGCCAAGATCACGCCATTGCAGTCCAGCCTGGGTGACAAGAGAGAAACTCCGTCTCAAAAAAACAAAACAAAACAAACAAACAGAAAAACAGCAGAAGTTTCTCTCTCCCAGTTCTGGAGGCCAGAAGTCCAAAATCAAGGTGTCCACAGGGCTGGTTCCTCTGGAGGCTCTGAGGGAGACTCCCTCCCTCACCGCCCCCCAGCTCCCACGGCTGGGCGCTGTCCTGGGCGTTTGTTGGCCTGCGGAAGCATCAGCCCTGTCTCTGCCTCCGTCCTCCCACGGCCACCTTCCTCCTGTGCGTCAGTGTCCAAACTTCCCTCTTGGTATCTGTGTTGCCGAAGTGAGTGCCCCACGGCCCTCTTCTTATGAGGATACCTGTCCTCGGATTTAGGGCCTGCTGTAAATGCAGGATGATCTCATCTCCAGATTCTAAACTAATGGTATCTGCAAAGACCATTTCCAAATACGACCACGTTCGGAGGTTCCAGGTGGGCCTGAAGTTTTGGGGACACAATTCAATCCACAGCTCTGTGTCCCCGCTGCGTCCACACAGCCCCTGGCTCCCTCCCCAGGGCAGGGTCCTGCTTTGGAATTGTGGGGGTCCTGTCTTCTCCCCCAGGGCCCAGGAGGGCAGACCACAGCCTTCACACACAGTGCCCATCACAGGAGCCACATGCGGGTGGGGTCTTGGGGAGATCTCCCCCTCAGCCAGACGCTGGAAGACCGCTGGGTCCCTCGCCCAGGTTCACCACCAAGAATTTGGGCGCAACCACACATCACGTGTCTGACGTGACAGTCACCGGCGTCTGGAGGGACACTGGACCTTCCTGGCATGGCGGGAGGAGGTGGGGGGCTCTGAGGCGGGGCTGTTTCTCCTTCGTTTCCACCGTGCTGCCGCTGCACTTCCTGCGTCTCTGCTCCTCTCCGTGAGCTTCGCCGCCACTCCCAGGGTACTCTTCCTGGAGACTCGCCGTCCTGCCTGGGGACACTGGGGCTGTCCAGCTTAGCACAAGTCTGCACCAAAGTCTCCCTGCACACACCCGCTGGGTCGGGAAACATGGGGGTCAACACCAAACCGCCCTCCTCCAGAAGGTTCTGTGAGCAGAACATGTGGCCCCATCCCCCCATAATCTTGAAGAGTGCCCCCCCCGGGGTAGAGTGCCCCCCCCCAGGCCACCACGGGTGACCATGGAGGCTGTGGGTTCTGTGGTGGCTTCATGGACATTCCGGGGCTTTCTTGCCACGCTGGCCCCTTCACCAAGGACCAGGCAGAGGCCGTGGCTCGCTGCCACTCAACCAGGGGCTGGGCATGGGGCTGGGTCCCCCACCCCCGGGGAAGGTGGGGAAGTGTTGGAGCCAGGGTCGGCCTCTCACCTGGGGCCTGTGGGGCAGCAGTGGTAGCTGGTGTGTGTTTCTAGGTTTGCAGGAGTTTTGGGAGCAGAGTGAGCTCTCCCTGGCCTGTCGGTGGTGGCTTTGGAAGAGTGATGCCCGGCTTGCGGGAAGCAGGAAGGGCGTTTGTCGCGGGAGTGGGTGATGGAGTCGCTGTGCGTTTTCCATGCAGGTGGAGCCACAGCAGCAGGCGCCTTCGCCCCTGGAGTCGAGACCCACAGCCCTCAGGGACCACCTGGAGCCTCTCCATCCTCCGACCCCCGCCTGTGGGATGCCTCATGGGACGCCTCTTTCTATTCAATAAACAGATGCTGCAGCCTCACAGCCCTCACCTCTTTGGAAATGCCCTGGGGGAGGGCACAGCGGGCCCCTGCCTGACCCCAGCACTGCTAGGGAGACTGAGGCAGGGAGGCAGGGGTGAGAGGCCCTGGGGAGGGGCAGGAGGCAGGGGTGAGAGGCCCTGGGGAGGGGCAGGGGACAGGGGTGAGGGGTCCTGGGTGAGGGGGCAGGGGGCAGGGGTGAGGGGCCCTGGGTGAGGGGGCAGGGGACAGGGGTGAGGGGGCACGGGGCAGGGGTGAAGGGGCAGGGGGCAGGGGTGAGAGGCCCTGGGTGAAGAGGCAGGGGACAGGGGTGAGGGGCCCTGGGGAGGGGCAGGGGACGGGGTGAGGGGCTCTGGGGAGGGGCAGGAGGCAGCAGCCACTCTTGGCCTGTGTGGGGGCTGAACCCACAGGAAGAATGGAGCATCCTGGCCCAGTCTCTATGGGTCTGCAGTGCTGTGGGGACCTGGGCACCCTGTGAAGAAGGTCCAGCTGCTGGGGCTCTGCTGGGCACACAGGCTCCGGGTGCAGGAGATGGGAAAGCTGCAGGCGGCTGGGGAGTTAGGCCCATTTGGGTTTTGCGCCCCACCCTCCCGCACTGATGTGATTGTGGGCACCTGGTTTATACCCCTGGAAATGGGTCACAGTTATGGCCAGGGGATTGCCAGCCAGCCTGGGCACTCCACAGCCAACCTCATAGACATAGGTAGCTACCCTGTGTGCTCCTTGTTTCAAAGATCAAGAAACTGGCCCAGCGCGGTGGCTCATGCCTATAATCCCAGCACTTTGGGAGGCTGACGTGGACGGATCACCTGAGGTCAGAAGTGCCAGACCAGCCTGGCCAACATGGCAAAACCCTGTCTCTACTAAAAATACAAGACAGCTGGGTGTGGTGGTGCACGCCTGTAATCCCAGCTACTCAGGAGGCTGAGGCAGGAGAATTGCTTGAACCCAGGAGGCAGAGGTTGCAGTGAGCCGAGATCACACCACTGCACTCCAGCCTGGGCGATGGAGCAAGACTCTGTCTCAAAAAAAAAAAAAAAAAAAATCAAGAAACCGAGGCACAGAAGGGTTGGGTAACTTATCCAAGGCTGCACAGCCCGGAAGAGGCCAGACTGGCTGCAAGCCTGGGTGATCAGGCTCCAGGGCCGGGCTCTGCACTGGCCCTGGGTGATGTCTGGCGCAGCAGAGGCCCTCCCCACTGCCACTCTGGTCACTGGCACTGTGCCTCTGGCCTCCGGAGCTCTGACTACCCACTGTGTCTGGCGCACATTTCAAAGGGCCGGGTGTGGGGTGGCACAGGAAGGTGCTGGGGGCTCTGGTCCGTTGCCCGTCAGTGCCCACGGCCCTCGCAGGGCAGGCCAGAACGAGCCCAAACAAGTGTCCTGTGGGGTGGGGGGGTCACCGAGCCCCAGGTGGTGTGGGTGGAGCTCCTCCTCCTCTCAGGCCCCCAGACGGCCCCAGCAGCATCCACTGCTGTCCACGCACCAGGAGGGTGGCCGGGCAGGCTGCTGTCTAGGCCAGGCTAACCCCTGCAGTGGGTGTGGGTGTCACTAGGGCCGGATGACGCTTGTGCAGAAACCCAAGTCTGAGCAGCCAGCAGCTAAGCTGCCCTGATGACATTCCTGGGTGAGCGCACGAGCCTCTGCTGTCTGTATATAGTCGGCCCAGGCTGTGCAGCAGAGGAGCCCGGAGCCCGGACCCCGCCATGGAGGCCAGGCTGCCGTGCACCATCCTGGGTGTCCTCGTGGTGCTCTGGGCGCAGGTGGCAGCAGCCATGGTGGAGCTGGACCGGCAGAAGGTGGCTTCTCCTTTTTCGTTGGTGGGGCTCCTCCTACACCCCCAGCCCTGCAGGCTCAGGGAAGGAGGCCTCTCCTGGTGTGGGGAGCTCGTGGGGATGCTGGTGCCCGGCTAGACACTTCCTGTTAGTGGCATTTTCTTTTCTGCTGAGTCTGTGTCGGCTGCTGGGCCAGGCACACATTGGCAGGCCCAAAGAAGGTAGATGCTGGAGACGAAGATTCTTTCCTCCCGAAAATGACCGGGTTTTTTTTTTTTTTTTGAGATGGAGTCTCGCTCTGTCGCCCAGGCTGGAGTGCGGTGGCGCAATCTCAGCTCACTGCAAGCTCCATCTCCTGGGTTCACGCCATTCTTCTGCCTCAGCCTCCCGAGTAGCTGGGACTACAGGCGCCTCTGCCACCACGCCCGGCTAATTTTTCTGTAGTTTTAGTAGAGAGGGGGTTTCACCATGTTGGCCAGGATGGTCTCGATCTCCTGACCTTGTGATCCACCTGCCTCGGCCTCCCAAAGTGCTGGGATTACAGGCGTGAGCCACCGCGCCCGGCCAAATGATTGGGTTTTTAAAAGTCTCAGTGGAAGTCCCGGCTGTGGGCAGGTTGCTGAGGGCAGGAGGCCCCTCCCCTGGCGTGGTTGGCAGGCTGGTGAGCTGCGCTGCCCAAGCCACCCCATTCCCTGCCGTTTCTTACTCCGCCGCACCCTGCAGGCTTTCTTTTCCAGGCCCCTGCTCCTGGGTCCTGCCCCCGAGATCAGGCAGGGCCTGTGGTTCCTCCCCAAATGCCCCGGAAGCCCCAGGGCCTGTTCAGCAGCTCTAGATGGCCCGGTGGGGAGGAGCCACCCTCTCGGTGTTGCTGTCTGATGGCTTGAAGGGACCCCTTGGAAGGACACACACCTGGGGACAGTTGGGCTTGGAAGGACACACACCTGGGGACAGCTGGGCTTGGAAGGACACACACCTGGGGACAGCTGGGCTCACAGATGTCCTGCTGCTTTACCGTCGAGCCTCACGGCCATCTGCTGACCTGTCAGAGCCCAGCAGGCCCCTGCCCGGGGGTTGGTGGAATGCCCCTGGGGGTCTCAGACCCACTGCCCAGCTCATGGCCGGGCTCCGCATCTCTCTAGATTGGAGGATTCTGGCGGGAAGTCGGTGTGGCCTCCTATCAAAGTCTGGTGCTGATGGCCCCAAAGCGGGTGGAGGGCTTGTTCCTCACTTTGAACGGGAGTAACCTGACCGTGAAGGTCGCATATAACAGGTAAGAGGCCTGGGGGCTGCTGGAGAGGAAGAGGCATGCACGGCCGGGGACTGGGCGTGGGCCGCTGCACGCACTGCAGCATGGGGTCTGGGTTGAGTGCCGTTCTGCCGGTGAGCCAGCCCTCCCTTTGCCCACCTGCCTGGGCCCTCGACTCCCAGCCTCCTGGATCTGAATTTTCTCCCAAAGGTAAGCATAGTGTTTTAATGAAGTCCCGTGAACTTATAAGGAAGGAAAAGGGGCATGGGGCAGGTGGCTGGCTGGAGGGAACAGAGCCCCCAGGGGAAGGCCGGTGCAGCCCCCACCCGGCACATTCCCCACCTCATCCTGCTGCAGGCCCTGGGATGCTCCACAGTGCTGCCTGTGCGCTTCTTAAAGACTAGGCCCCATTCCGGGAAGGAGCCTAGCAGGTGGGTCACAGGCTGGCATTTTCCTGATGGGCACTTTGCTGCCTTTCAGCTCAGGAAGCTGTGAGATAGAGAGGATTGTGGGCTCAGAAATAGACACTACGGGAAAATTTTCTTTTCCTGGTAAGTGCAGTTGCCCTGTCATGGCAAGTGGAGCCCAGCTGTGCACACAGCTAGACCTTATTGTTCTCCTTGCTGTTCCCTGCACTGTTCCCTGTGCTGTTCCCCATGCTGTTCCCTGCACTGTGCTCTGTGCTGTTTCCCTGTACTATTCCCCATGCTGTTCCCTGCACTGTTCTCCATGCTGTTCCCTGCACTTTTCTCTGTGCTGTTCCCCATGCTGTTCCCTGCACTGTTCCCCATGCTGTTCCCTGCACTGTTCCCCATGCTGTTCCCTGCACTGTTCCCCATGCTGTTCCCTGCACATTTCATGCCCCAGACCTTCCCATTCTCCGACCAACACACTGGATCATCCTTCAGAAGCTTCTGTAGTGTCCCCAACGACTCAAGTGCTGGGACTGGGAGGGGGCTGGATGGAGTTAGACCCTGCAGACCCTGGCCTTCGAGGTCCATCCCCCTCAGAGGTCTCCCCCAATGCCATGGCTGGCTCCTGAAGGCCACAGAGAGATCCACGTGCTGGACACTGACTACGAGGGCTATGCCATCCTGCGGGTGTCCCTGATGTGGCGGGGCAGGAACTTTCACGTCCTCAAGTACTTCAGTAAGCTTGGCCCTGGGGGGCTCTGCCCCGCTGCCGCCCGCCCAGGGACTGCCCACCCAGCCCCCCTGTGCCCCACAGCTCGGAGCCTGGAGGATGAGGACCGGCTGGGGTTCTGGAGGTTTCGGGAGCTGACGGCAGACACTGGTCTCTACCTGGCGGCCCGGCCTGGTGAGCCCAGGGTCCTTGGGGTGGAGGCTGGGCTGGGCCCTGTGGGTTGGCTCTGCAGCGCCTCACGCTGGCCTTATCACGCAGGGCGGTGTGCCGAGCTTCTGAAGGAGGTGAGCCTGACCCCCAACCCTGGCCTGCACTGAAGTCCCCGGGCCCCCAGCCCAGTCCCTGGCCCTGTCAGGAGCCCCCCATAGCTCCACCTCCCAGCCCTGGGGTGGGGCCTGTTCGCCCCTTCCTGTGAACAGGATCCTGAACACCACCGGTGGGCAGCCCCAGAGATGAGTCTGTCTCCTGGTTTGGAAAGAGCTGGAGCCTCCAGGGTGGTGACCCTAGGCTGCTAGGCAGGGACGCTGGGAGGCTGGGGTCATGGGGTGCAGAGCTGGGTTGGGCAGGCGAGCAGAAATGGCGCCTTTTCTTCGGTGTTCCGTGCACGACTGCTGGCTGCTTCTGTCCCTGAAGGTCCTGTCGGGGGCGGGCACAGGTCCTGCGGGGACTGCCTCAGGGTCCTCTGTCGGGCACTGCAAGAACCCAGAGTCTCCCTCACCTCGCTTTGTCTTGGCCCTAGAGGTTGGGACTGTCACCCCACTTTGCAGATTGAGAAGGCACTCAGGGAGCTGAGTGCTTTGCCCAAAGCCAGGCAGCTAGGACAGAAGCCCCCGACACGTGGCCCTCATCGCTGCCCCATGGGGCCTCCAGAGACCACATGGGCCTGAGCCCCCACACTTTCGTGTCACAGGAGCTGATTTAATGGAGTTTCTGCCTCAGACCACGAGGCTCAGAGTCCCCGCCCACCCCGGCCCCTCCTGGGCACCCTGCCCACCGAGTCACCTGCACCTGCTCTGAATAAACTGTGATGTCTAGCTGCTGCCTGGTGTGTCTTTCTGGAGAGCCAATGGGTGACAGGTGTGGGGGGACGTGCCTGCCCCAGGACTGGCAATAGGAGGTGTGTTTTCTGTGGCTACTGGACAAACAGCATGGCTCATGTACAAGGCAGCAGCCCCTGCCCTCCTGCCCTGCCAGGGTCGTGGTCAGGCTGCCCCAGGGTGTAGACCAGAGACAGAAACAGGGCTCCTGGTGGAGTCTCAGCAGGTGTCTCAAATGCATGGAGGCCACACCCCTCCTGCCTGCATCCTCCATGGCTCCCCACTGCCCAGGGCTCCAGGCTCACGGCCCGTGCCCAAGGCCCTACCTGATGGGTCTTGCTTCCGGCCTCCCTGGATCCCCAGCTGCCCAGCCCTGCTCAGTGTCCGGTTCCACGGTGGGCTCTCACCCCGTGGCCTGGGCTGCCGCCAGCCGACGGCATCACTTTCTCTTCCCGCCTGAACTGGGACACGGGAAGGGCGAGGAAAGTGGCAGGTGTCAGCCCGGAGGTTCTGCGCCCAGGCCCCTGGGGATCAGCCGGTCCCCCATATACGCAGGTGAGACAACCCAGGGCTTACGAGGGTGGCTGCCTCAGGGCGGTGGAAAGTGATACCTGAGGTTGAGTGGTGCTGGGGGCCGTGGGGGGAACCGCCCAAGTCGGGGGACCTCGGCAGCCCCCAGCATCGACTGGGACACCAGAAAGGCCCTTCTAGGAACAAGGACTGCACCCTAGATGCGCCTCAAATCCAGAATCGTGCCCCCCGAGAGCCACAGGAGGGACATGTAGAGGCTACATTCTGACAAGTTAGGGGCTCCTGGGAAACAGCCGTGACTTTGCGCAGCTGTGCCGGGCTGAGGCCCACAGGTTCAACGAGCTTAGCCTGGACTTGGACTTCCTGCCCGAGGGGCTGTCACTCTCGCTGTCTGCTCAGGCTCCTGTAGCAAAATAGCTCAGATTGGCACCTTAAACAACAGAAGAGTATTTCCTCACCGTTCTGGAGGGTGGAAGTCCAAGATTAAGGTGCCGGAAAATGCAGTTTCTGGTGAGGGCTTCCTGCCCACTCGCAGAAGGCAGCCCCTCGCTGTGTCCTCTCCTGGGGGGGAGTGCTCTCTGGGTGCCTCTTTCTCCCCTGATAAGGACACCAGCCCTGTTAACTTAGGGCCACACCCTTTGACCTCACTTAATCTCGATCGCCTCCTAAGAGTCCCGTCTCCTGAAACAGTGACCGTGGGATCCAGGGCTACAACGCAGGAATTTTGGGAGGGCACAATTCATCCCAGAACAACAGTCCGTTTAGACGGTGACAGTAGATGCAGGGCTGCCATCATCAACAGCATCCTGCCCAAAAGTCACTGGACGTCCAAAGACACAGAAAAATATGACCTATATTAAAAAAAAAGAAGAAGGAAGAAAGAAAAGAAAGTACTAAAAAATGAGCACCGGAGAAGACCCAAGTTGGTATTCAGAAGATAAAGGTCTAAGAAGCAGTCGATTATGAAGTAGTTTAAAAAAAGCGAAGATTATGCGCCAGGCCGCCGGTGGCTCACTGCCTGTAATCCCAGCACTCTGGGAAGGCCAAGGTTGGCGGATCACAAGGTCAGCGAGAATTGAGAGGACCCCACGGTGCAAACACCAGTTCTACTAAAATAAACAAAAAATTATGCCGGGCGCGGTGGCGGGCGCCTGTAGTCCCAGCTACTTCGGAGGGCTGAGGCAGGAACCCGGGAGCCGAGCTTCGCAGTGAGCCAAGATCATGCCCACTGCCACTCCGGCCTGGGGGACAGAGCGAGACTGCGTTTCAAAAAAAAAAAAAAAAGCAGAGATAGTACTTCTAAGGAAGAAATAGTGACATGATAGTATTAAGGACTAATTGATAAAGGAAAATAAGGAGTGGAATGTAAGATCAGATCAGAAATACAGGAAAATGGAATTATAAAAAAAGAAAAAATTATGAACTGAAAGTGCAGTAAGTGAAAATTTACTGGAAGGAATTAGGAGATTTGGCCATTGCAAAAATAAGGTCCATGATTGAGCCAAAAATCATGTAAATTATCCAATCTGAGGAAACAGAGAAGAAAATGGTTGATAGCACCTTCAAAATCTGTGGGGGCAAGATCAAAAAATGTAAACTGCCTGAGAAAAGAAAAAGAGAGTTGAGATTATTTGAAGAAATAGCTGGCCAAAATAACCAACTTGATGAAAACATCAACTTAAGATAGCCCAGAGGCTCAGAGACCCAGGCGCGGATGAAAAAAAAAGCCCGCAAAAACACACCTAGGACGACATTTAGTCAAAAGCCACTGCCAACCAAAGTGATTTGGATAAAATTTAAGAAGGAGTCTGTGGGTAAAACAACCAGGAACAGCCCAGGCTTGGTGGCTCACACCGTAATCCCAGCACTTTTGTGGAGGCCGAAGGTGGGAGGGATCACTTGAGGTCAGGAGTTTGAACCAGCCTAGGAACAATAGTGGGAGTCTTCATCTCTTCTTTAAAAACAAAAAAAACAGGGCGGCGGGCGTATGGTACGCCTGTACTCCAGCAGCTTTGGGATGGCCGAGGCGGTGGATCACCTGAGGTCGGCAGTTCAAGACCAGCCTGACCAACATGAGAACCGTACTCTACTAAAATACAAAAATTAGCCAGGCATGTGGCACATGCTGTAATCCCAGCTACTCGGGAGAGCTGGAGGCAGGAAATCACTGAACCGGGAGGTGGAGGATTGCGGTGAGCTGAAGATCACGCCACTGCACTCCAGCCTGGCAAATAAAGAGCGAACCCCATTCAAAGAAATAAAAAATATTAAAAAAATTAAAAATAAAAAAATAAAACAACCAAACAAGCCGGGCGCGGTGGCTCACGCCTGTAATCCCAAGCACTATTGGGGCAGGCGGAAGGGTGGATCACGAGGTCAGGAGAATCGAGACATCCTGGCTAGCACGGCTGGAAACCTCATCCCGTAACTAAGAATTTAAAAAATTAGGCTGAGTGTGGTGCGGGCCCTGTAGTCCCACTGCCGGGAGCTGACAGGCAGGAGAATGGCATGAACCCGGGAGAAGGCTTGCGTGACCTGAAGATTCAGCACCACGTGGCACTCCTGCCTGGGCGGACACAGTGGGACTCCATCTCAAAAACAACAAAAGAAACAAAAAAAGGATCAGGGCATGATATTATTGGCTTCTGTGTCCCCACCCAGTCTCATGTGGCATTATTGTTAATGCCCAATGTTGGAGGTAGGCTTGGTTGGACGGGTGATTGGATATCAGGGATGGGATTTATACCTTGTCTGGTGCGTAGTGAGTGGTTCTTCAGGAGAGATTGCTTGTTTAAAAGTGTGTAGGACTCCCTCACCTTTCATTTCTTTCCTTGCTGGCCACTGTACAACGACTTACGCTGGTCCCTCTTATTCAACTTCCTTTCAAACTAGTTAACTTGATTGAAAGTTTCGTGGCTGGGCTTGCAGGGGGCTCACGCCTGGTAATCCCCAGACTTTGGAGGCTGAGGCAGGGAAAGGTTACTGAGGTCAGGAGTTTGGACCAGCCTGCTACATGGTGAAACCTCCGATTTCTACTGAAATACAAAAAAGTTAAGCGGGGCCAGGCTGGTCCCGTGGTGGCACCGTGTAATTCCCAGGTACTTGGGAGGCTGAGGCAGGAGAATGGCTTGAACCCAGGAGGCAGAGGTTGCAGTGAACCGAGATTGCATCATTGCACTCCAGTTTGGGCAAAAAAAAAAAAAAAAGGAAGTTTTCTCAGGCCTCCACAGCCGTACTTCCTGTACAGCCTGTGGAACCATGAGCCAATTAAACTTATTTTTTTCATAAATTACCCAGTCTCAGGTAGTTCTTTATAGCAATGTGAGAATGGACTAATACAGGGCATAAATGGGGGGACACAATGGCTGTCTTCTCATGGCAAATGGAAACCAGGAGATGACGATAGGGAATCTTTACATTGCTGAAAAAAAAAAATCAAAGCAGATCTCTATATCTAGGACAGATATCCTTCAAAACTGAGGGTCAAATAAACATACTTTGAGACAAATGGAAGTGGAGGGAATTTATCTCTAACACAGCTTCAGTATAATAAATAAATGCCAAGGATATTCCTCAGGCAGAGGGGAAATGACTCTGGATGGCCACTCAGGTCTGCAGGAAGAAGATCCGTGTGACAAACGGGGACCAAGTGAGTCCATTGGAACCTGCATTCCTTGTCCTCCATTTGGTTACTTAATTATGTCAGCATGAACTCAGTAGTTCCTGTTTTCTTCCATAGGTTACAATTGATGAAAATCGTTTCTACCCAATGGGAGTGCCTTCGAAGTGGCTTCAGAGTATTGGTGGCACATTCCCCGATTCCTTGGGCATATTTTTGCTTTTTGGCACAAAAAACATTCCAAGTTCCTCTTATGTTTTCTGTACACAGGCTTTGAATAATTCACCTTTTCATACAGAACGGTGTTGAGAAACCAAGCTCTGAGTGTTCAGTGTGCTTGCTTTTACTTTTACTGGGTCTGATTGTATCTAAACCTTCTCAGCAGACAGAGCCTGGACTTACCTTCCTCCCCTTCCTCCCTCCTTCTTCTTCCCGTCCCCTGCCTCCCTGTCTCTCTCTCCTTCTTCCCTTCCCCTCCCATTTCTCCCTCCTTCCTCCCCCCGCCGGCTTTCCATCCCTCCCTTCCCTCCTTCCTTCCTTTCCTCCTCCCTCTCTCCTTCCCTCCTCCCTCTCTCCTTCCCTCCCTGCCTCTCCTTATCTGTCTACCAAAATCAGAGTTCACATGGATACTTCCAATTCCAGCCCAACGCCACAGGGTTCACTTTGATCTCTCCCCTTTCTATATGTCTATATTTATAATTCTCTTTTCCAACACAGAGAAACCCATTATCCTTAATATATTTACTCATTAGGTCCCTTCTAGAGTGCATGGAAAGTGTATCAGAATTGCTCACCCAGGCCGGGCGCGGTGGTTCATGCCTGTAATCCCAGCATTTGGGGAGGCCGAGGCAGGTAGATCCTGAGGTCAGGAGTTTGAGACCAGCCTGACCAACATGGTGAAACCCCATCTCTACTAAAAATACAAAAATTAGCTGGACATGATGGCGTGTGTCTGTAATCCCAGCTCTCAGGAGACTGAAGCAGAAGAATCACTTGAACCGGGGAGGTGAAGGTTGCAGTGAGCCAAGAGTGCACCACTGTACTCCAGCCCAGATGACGGAGTGAGACCCCCATCTCAAAACTAAACAAAACAAAACAGAATTGCTCGTCCAAACCACCGTGAACCATGAGCCTGTCGACGAGAGCTTAGGATGTGTTTGTAGCTCCTTCTGCCATTAGCCCGAGAATACAGAGAAACTACTGTTCAGAAGTTACCGGGGGCAGTCCTTTCCCCTTTAGTGTGGCTGTCATTTATCTATAATACAACTCTATCCCATGTTTGGAATTTGTTTATTTTACTTTTGAGTATAACGGTATAGTATACCAAATTACTTTGATTCCAAAGTCAAAACTATACAAAAAGGTTTACTCAAAAAAGTCTAAATTCCTCCCCCAACTCTGTTCCAGCTCCCAGCCCTGGCAAGGAACTAGTCTCGTTAGACTCTGAGGTTTATCCTATGCTTTTTGTTTTTGTTTGTTTGTTTGTTGTTTTTTGAGACAGAATCTTACTCACTCTGTCACCCAGGCTGGAGTGCAGTGGTGCAATCTCGGCTCACTGCAACCTCCGCCTCCCAGGTTCAAGCGATTCTCCTGCCTCAGCCTCCCGAGTAGCTGGGATTACAGGCATGTGCCACCACTCCTGGCTAATTTTTGTAATTTTAGTAGAGACGGGGTTTCACTATGTTGGCCAGGCTGATCTCGAACTCCTGACCCCAGGTGATCTGCCGGCCTCGGCCTCCCAAAGTGTTGGGATTACAGGCGTGAGCCACCATGCCCGACTGATGCTGTGTGCTGTTTTGTGGCTACCTTGAAAACCAGCCTCCCACAGCCCTGAAGGACACTGTGGGGCTAGCAGGTGTTTCCTTGTCAGAGGCCTGGTCCAGCTGCTTGACTTCCTCCTTTTTGTATTTTTATTTTAGAGATGGGGTCTTGCTGTGTCGCCCAGGCTGGAGTGGAGTGGCACGATCACAGCTCACTGCAGCCTCAACCTCCTGGGCTCAAGCGATCCTCCCACCTCAGCCTCCAAGTAGCTGGGACCAAAGGAGCACGCCACCACGTCCAGCTAATTTTTAAATTTGTTTGTAGAGATGAGGTCTGGCTACGTTGCCCAGACTGGTCTCGAACTCCTAGACTCAAGTGATCCTCCCGCCTCAGCCTCCCAAAGTGCTGGGATTACAGGTGTGAGCCACCGCGCCTGGCCATGGCTCCCTCCTGAAGGCTCCAGGCCTAAGTGTCCCGCCCCCTTGTTCTGTGGCTCAGCCCCTGGGCAAATCCTGCTTGCCATGGCTTTGGCTGACACTTCCATGGCCCCACTGCCCGGTCAGTCTTTACAGGCTTGGCCCCCAGTAGCTGCGTGGTTTCTGCCTTCTTCTTGCATTCTGGTGGTCACAGGCCCTGCTGCGTGGGTACAGGGCAGGCGGCCAGGGCTGCAGTGTAAGCTCTGTGAGTGCAGGAGGCCCTGGGCACTGCAGCCTTGTTGCATGGACATGCTCCTTGCACCCTTGTTGACGAATGAGTGAAGGTGTGTGGGAGTGAATCCCAGAGGGTTCAGGCCACGGCACTGGGGGAGGACCCTCCCGGCTGCCTCCCAGTGGGCTTCAGGGGCTCAGATAGACCCTGACGAGCACCTCTGTCCTCTGCTCCTGGACAGGGGCTGCAGAGAGCTCTCAAGGGTCCTTGGGAGGCACAAGCAGGCCAGGGTCCCAGGGAGGGGAGGCAGGAGGCAGCAGGGCTGGACGGTGCAGTGCAGGGGTGAAAGGAACAGGACAGTCTGGTCTGGGGGTGCTGGCTGTGGGGGACAGGAGGCCAGGCCACAAAGCAGAATGGTGTGTGGGCCAGGAGGGGGTGGGAGCTTTAATCAAAAGGCTTTCAGGGACTTTTTATATTTAATGATTGAAACAAAAGATATCCAAAACCGCAGTTCCTAAGAACCGCTTGTTCTTACCCTGCTTGTACCTCTCCTAGGGCTTGACCCTGGCCTCCCGCCGGGCCTGGCAGTGGACAGGAGGGTCCCTGCTTCCCAAACCGGGTGAGGGAGAGCGTGGGTCCCCAGGAAGCGGGGAGGTGATGCAGCTGGCTTTAGGATGCCCATTCTGGAACCTTCTGGTGGAAGGAAGCAGAGATCAGTACAGTGTGGTGGATGCACACACTCCAGACCCTCTCCCGGCTGTGCAGCTGTCTGATCTGGGCTCAGAGGCTGCCACTGCTCAGTGCCCCCCTGGGTAATTTTGCAGGAGGCCAGGAGGGTTCCTGGCAGTTAGTGCCGCCCACACGGAGAAATTCAGAGCTGTATAAATGGGTCTCCAGGGCCTAGAGGGACTGCACATCTTGGGCCTGAGGCGTGGTGTGGACCTGGGAGGATGGGTGGCCTATCACCTTCTTGTTTCCTTCCTGGCCTTCTGCTGGCTGCTCTTCTGGCTTTGGTCGCGGTGCCCAGGGCCCAGGCCGCGTGGTTGGGAAGACTGGACCCTAAGCAGGTACAGTCCTCCTGGGGGTGGAGAAAGCTGGTCCTCAGGGGCTGGCCCCCCCTTTAGGGTCACACAGCTTCTGGGTCCCCCAGGGCCAGCCCAGACCAGCATGGGCAGTGGGGAATGAGTTGGGCCAGCCCTTGGGTCCCAAAGGCAGGAGCCTCAGGGCAGGAGGGGTGGATGCTGGAGGGTTGGAGGCTGGAAGATTGGAGCTGGAGACTGGAGGTTGCAGGGCTGGAGAGCTGGTGGCTGGAGGGCTAGAGGCTGGAGGCTAGAGGGGTGGAAGGCTGGAGGGCTGGAGGCTAGAGGCTACAGGGCTGGAAGGCTGGAAGCTGGAGGGTGGGAAGGTTGGAGGCTGGAGGCTGGAAGGCTGGATGGTTGGAGGGTGGAGGCTGGAGGCTGCAGAGCTGGAGGCTGGAGGGCTGGAGAGCTGGTGGCTGGAGGGTTAGAGGTTGGAGGCTAGAGGAGTGGAAGCCTGGAGGGCTGGAGGCTAGAGGCTGCAAGACTGGAAGGCTGGAGGCTGGAGGGTTGGAGGCTGGAGGCTGAGGCTGGAGGCTAGAAGGGTGGAAGGCTGGGGGGCTGTAGAACTGGAGGCTGGAGACTGAAGGGCTAGAGGCTGGAGGGCTGGAGAGCTGGAGGCTGGAGGGTAGAGGGGTGGAAGGCTGGAGGGCTGGAGGCTAGAGGCTGCAAGGCTGGAGGGTTGGAGGGCTGGACGGTTGGAGGGTGGAGGCTGGATGGCTGGAGGCTGGAGGCTGCAGGGCTGGAGGCTGGAGGGCTGGTGGCCCTCACAGGAGCGGCCTCAATGCAGCTTCTTGGGCCCTGGTACGTGCTTGCGGTGGCCTCCCGGGAAAAGAGCTTTGCAGTGGAGAAGGACATGAAGAACGTCGCGGGGGTGGTGGTGACCCTCACTCCAGAAAACAACCTGCGACTGCTGTCCTCTCAGCACGGGTGAGTGGGGTGGGTCCTGCCAGGCCTTCCCGCAGGCAGGCCTGTGGCTCAGGCACATCACGTCCTTTGCACATCTGCTCCCGGGCACCACGGCCTGGGGGTTCCCACGGCCCCCCTGCACTCCCCTCACTTTTCCCGCTGGGCTCTGCGCAGAGCCACCAGCCCTCTGCCCAGCTACTCACATCTGTGTCCCTGTGGCCTCCAGGTGGGACTCCCACCTTCAATACCACGGCCGGGCACCGCTCTGACCACGCTCCTTGATGCATCCCTGTCCTGGGCCATCTGGCTGCAGGCTGGGGTCAGAGCTGGGGAAGCCGGTCCTCTCGGCAGGCTTTTCTGGGAATTCTGTTTAAAGGAGGGTAATGCATTTGGGCCTAAGAACCACTGGTTCTTTTATAATATAAATCCCCAAACAATATGGTCATGTAGGCTGTCGGCCAGACTGGCCTTGTGGCCTCAGGCCGGTGCACCCGACCACATGCATGGCTGGTGGCAGTGTGCAGGGATGGCTGTCCAGCCTCCAATTCTCCAACCTTCCAGCCTCCAACCCTCCAGGCCTCCAGCCTCCAACCCTCCAGCATCCACCCCTCCTGCCCTGAGGCTCCTGCCTTTGGGACCCCCCCAAGGGCTGGCCCAACTCATCCCCTACTGCCCATGCTGGTCTGGGCTGGCCCTGGGGGACCCAGAAACTGTGTGGCCTTAAAGGAGGGTCCGGCCCCTGAGGTCGTGCTATGCAGAGGACACCTACAGGGCAGCCAGGCTGTAGGGGTAGCCATGCTGGGGCAGGAGTCAGTGCCTGCCTCCCTTCGCAGAAGAGTGGCCTGCTGGGTGGCGTGGTGGGCGTCTACCCCCGGCAAGCTGGTGGCAGAGCCCAGGCCTGAACCACTGAGCCAGACACAGGGCCCAGAGAGGAGAACCTGCCCTCCTACCCAGCATGCCCTCCCCCTGCACCTGCGCCTGGAGGCTACGGGCAGGGGCCCTGCTGCACCCCCCAGGCCAGGCCTGGCCTCAGGGTGAGCTGGGACCAAGGGGCTCCAGGCTGAGGTGGCACCTCACACACGGCTTTCCTAGTTCTTCTTGCTGTTTCTCCCGCGTGGACTTCAGCCTCAGCTTCCTTCGTTGGCAAATGCCGCTGCACCTTTGCTGGGTTTTTCTCACTCTGGGGACTGACCACTTAGGGAGCGGCGGCCTCTTCCCCTGAGTTGCAGGCGAACCTCCCGTCTGTTGAGTCTCCTGTTGCGTCCTCAGCAGCATTCAGCGTTCCTGGTGGAGATCTGGCACTGAGGATCTCTCAGGAGGTGAATGGGAGTATCTGCCCCTCTTAGGACTCCCACGCCGTCCACTCTCTGAGAGCAGGTTTCCAGGCATCGGGGCATCTGGCAGAAGATGGAAGCTCTGGCCTCGCTGCCGGCTGGCCTGGCCTGGACTGGACTCCTGAGCTCCGTCTCCTCTCACCGGGCCCGGGGGTCTTGACCCTGAGTGGGTGATGGGCCTCTTCTTTTCCAGGCTGCAGGGGTGCAGCCAGAGTGTCACGGAGCTGTTGAAGCGAAACTCCGGATGGGTGTTTGAGAATCCCTGTGAGTCTGACCACCACGGCCTCACCCAGGCCATTCTTCCCTGCAGCATCCCCAGGCCCCCTGCGGCCAGGGACGGAGGGCTGACTCCACTCCTGAATGCCAGGAGGCTACAGGTTCTGGTCTTAGGATTGGTGCCCATCCTGAGGGTGAAGAGAGGCCCCTGGACGGAGGACTGGAACCTTGCTCCCAGCAGGCTCAGATGCCAGTGAAGTCCAGCCAAGGTCTCCATAGGTGCAGAGGGCAAGGGGCCTGTCCGGTGGCTGTCCATAGGGACAGGGCTGGGCCAGTGTGACCCAGCCACTCCTCGTTCACACCCGGGACAGGCTGGGCAGTGCTTGTCTGTCTGTCTGTCTGTCCATCAGTCTCTGAAAACCCCTTAATGCTGGCACCAGGTGGGGTCGGGGTCGGGGGACAAAGCTTAGGGGCTCTGGGTGTGCTTCGAGGGGTCTCCTGGGATTGGGGCCTCTCACTTGAATTGGACCCTCCGTCCCTGTAGCCAGCACCAGCTCAGTAGCCTCTGGACGGATACAGCAGCTGCCCTCCCCCACGGCGGGGGATTTGTTTCCCAGCAATAGGCGTGCTGGAGCTCCGGGTGCTGGCCACCAACTTCAGAGACTATGCCATCATCTTCACTCAGCTGGAGTTTGGGGACGAGCCCTTCAACACGGTGGAGCTGTACAGTGAGTGCGCCGTGCGGGGGCCACGCGGCGAGCTGTGTGGTGGATGGGCCACTCGGGGCCTCATGCAGGCCAAGTTCCCCCACCTTGAGGCTCGCTGCACTGGAGGTGGCCTTGGAAGGGCCGTGGCCAGCATCCCAGGGCAGGCGGTCTCCTCCCTGGCCCCTCTCAGCCCCTCCCTGGCCCCTCCCCGGCTCCTCCCTTTCCCCCCCTCCCCTTTCCCCTCCCCCGCTCCTCCCCCGCCCCCAGCCCCTCCCCCGTCCCTCCCTAGCCCCTCCCCCTTCCCCTCCCTGGCCCCTCCCCGGCTCTCAGAGGTTGCCTCCCCCTGCACTGCCCTGGTGCCCCCAGGTCGGACGGAGGCAGCCAGCCAGGAGGCCATGGGACTCTTCACCAAGTGGAGCAGGGGCCTGGGCTTCCTGTCCCAGCAGCAGGCCCAGCTGCAGAAGGACCGTGAGTGCCCACCGGAGCAGCCACAGGGGAGGCTTGGGGCAAGTTCTGGTGCCCACAGGGCACGATGGGGTGGCACAGACCCTGGGGCTGATTCTGGCTTCTGCCTGACTCAGTCACTCTCAGGGAGTCAGGCAGGCTGAGGGGGTCTTCACCTGCCCCTGCCCACAGTCAGGCCTGGGGGCTGGTCCCCACAGCAGACGAGTCCTGTGGGTGGGGCCCTGGGGGGCTCAGTCCTTTTTCACAGCCAGTCTTGCCTCCCCTTCTAGTCACCTGTGCTCACAAGATCCTCCCGGTAAGCCGCCGTCCTGAGCCTCACCCTGGGCTCCCCTGGGGGTTGGGGTGGGGGAGGCCACCCTACGCACAGTGGGCGGGAGGACCCTCTGCCCAAGCCCACGGGTTCGTGGCTCCACTGCCTCTAAGGTGGCTGAGGGTGTGGAGGGCGCCTCCGTGGTGGGCTGGGCCCCTCACACTTGTCTTGGTTTTCAGTGAGTGCTGCGTCCCCAGCAGGGACAGCACCCGCAGGGTCCTGTGACCCGGCCAGGGTCCGCCCATTTCGCTCAGCGGCTCCCAGGGCGCAGCTCCAGCTCAGAATAAAGCAATTCCACAGCAAACCAGGGGTGCTCTTGATTGGGGGCCAGCCGGGGATTGCGGGGAGGATGGCAGGGGTCGTCACCAAGGGCCAAGCCACAGAACCATAGAGCCAGCTGCAGAGAAGACGTGTGCCCAACCCAGTCCCTTGCCAGAGTCCCTCTGGGTCTTCAGACACCCAAATTCAGGTCCCGGCTTGGAGGTGGGGGCTGGTCGGGGGACACAGCCTGGGAGGAAACCAGCAATGACGTCCACCAGGACCATGGCTGGGGTGCCACAGGCTCCACAGATTGCCTAGGACAAGAGCGCGGAGGCTGGTGGGGCTCAGAGGGGCCCCTGACCCCCCAGGCTCAGGCTTCTCTGGGCTGGGGTTGTGGCTCTTGCCTGGGCAGGGACGGGGACCCCAGATGCCCGAGCCTGCAGGTCCTCCTGTGTTCTGTTGGGGTGTGGGGGGCTGCCTGCCGTGCTGGGAGAAGCACAGGCTGTGGGGGCCTGGGGGCTGGATGCGGGGCTGGGGACTGTGCGAGGCTCATGCTGGGGTGAGGTGAGGCACACACAGATGCTTTGACCTGCAAGGCTGGGCATGCACACGCGTGCACATGTGAGCACGTACCCATACATGCGCACATACATACTCACGGGCGCGGGCACACAGCCCCAGCCCACCCTTCGGTGCCTGCTCAGGTGCTGTGGTGCCAGGCCCTCAAGAAGGTGGCAGGGGCAGTGTGTGTGGCTGCCGCATGGTGCTCCCCACGTCCACATATGCCCCAGAAGGGCTACGACCAGCCCTTTACCTGTCACCTGGGAGGCCTGGGATGAGGACCAGGGCTTAATGAGTCTCAGGGGTACACCCAGTGACTGCAGGCTGGACACTGAGGGCAGGAGGGTCCTGGGGCCTCAGAGCGGCCTCTGTCTGCCGGGGCAGCCCAGGCCAGCAGTGACCACGGGGCGGAGCTGTGCCGGCTGCATCTGAGTGTCTGGGGGTGGTCCCTGGGCGGGGAGAGGGTAGCAGAGCCCAAGGCCACACCTGCTGCCTCCCTCCCCTCCCGACCCAGGCTGGTGGCTCCGGGGAGGTTTAAACACTGGCCTTGGTGGCTGAGGGAGGAGGAGGAGGATGAGGCAGGGACTGCTGGTGCTGGTGCTGGTGCTGGCTGCAGGGTCCCAGGTGCAGGACTGGTACCCCAGGGAGTCCCATACCCTCAACTGGAACAAGGTGAGCCATGCGCTGCTGGTCCCTGAGCCGGGCACCGGCCCTGGAGCCGGAGGAGGCTCCTGCACAGTCTCCCGGCAGCCGCCCAGGAGCAGGGCTACCAGGAGTTCCAGGCACAGGCAATGCCTACCTGGCTTCTCCCACTGCAGCCTCCAGCACAGGGGCCCCGCAAGCTGCAGGGCAGAGGCAGGGAGCCTCGAGGGGTTCAGGGGAGTCGGGGGTTCAGGAGGGTCAGGGTGGAGGGGCCCAGAGAGCTGTGGTTGAGGAGGTTAGAAGACGCCGAGAGGGCAGAGTGGGTGTGGAGCAAGCGGGGCATGTTCTGTAGCGGGAGGGCCCGGGCACCTGCAGAGTGAGCCATGGGAGCAGCACTCATTGGCACAGTGGTGCCCAGGGTGCTGGGGTTGGCAGCAGGCAGAGTTGGGGGCCGAGGGCCGGCGGGAAGGGAAGTGGCTGAGCAGTATCCAGCCCCTAGGAGTCCACGTGGAAAGGAGCCGGGGCCTCTGAGGTAGGGAGGCCTTCCACCTGCTGGTGCCACGGCCCAGCCCTGGGGTCCCTGACCTTCCGGGCACCTGGTTCTCTGCGGCCCAGCTCCAGTGGCCAGGGCTTGAGTGGCCAGGACCGAGGCGGCACCCGGGTGGGGCTGGAGCTCCGGTTCACAGAAGGGTCACTTGTCTCCTGGGTTCTCTAGCTGGGAACCTCGGGGGTGGGGACAGCCCCTAGATGGCAGCTCTCGTCCCCGCCCACACACCTGCTGCGCAGTTTTCAGGGTTCTGGTACATTCTGGCCACAGCCACTGACGCCCAGGGATTCTTGCCGGCCAGGGACAAGAGGAAGCTGGGGGCGTCCGTGATAAAGGTGAACAAAGTAGGCCAGCTCCGTGTGCTCCTTGCCTTCAGCCGGTGAGTGGGCAGCGCCCCCCAGGCAGGGGTGTCCCCTTCCAGGAGGAGGGAGCTGCCTGGGGGCTGGAAAGGAGTCCGGGAGGAGCCTGTCTGTCTGGAAGTTCCGCAAGAACCGTCCCCCAACTTCCTCCCTCTGAACTCCGAGGAAGCCGCCTGCAGCCCCTGGGGCCCCCACACGGGTGGGAGTTGGAAGTGTCTCCCGTGCCGTGGGACAGGCTCCGGTCCGAATTGGAAAATCCTCACACCACAGAGCCTCAAATTGACAAGAGTTGGATAGTGAAGCAAAAAACTGGGGACCTGGTGCCCCAACCTTCCCGGGTCCCATGGGAGCAGGGGCGGGACCGAGATGTGTCGGTGGGACTCGGTGGCGGGCCGGGGGAGGAGGGGTTCCCTGGTCTGCAGCCTGAGCCCCTGCCTTGCCCCAGGTTGAAGGGGTGCCAGTCCCAGGAGGTGATCCTGAGGAAAGACGGGAAGAAGCCGGTGTTCAGGAACACCTGTGCGTACGCGGTGGGCCTGAGGGAAGGACGGGAGGGCGGTGTTGCTCAGGCTCTGAGCCCCGGAGGAGCTGCGTGGGACGCCCCTGTCCCCTCGGTGCCTTGAGCAGGCCTGGCCCGGGAGGGGAGGCCCCGGGAGGGCACTCAGTCCTTTCTGGACACTGCACCCGGCTGGGGGCTCCGAGGCCTCGGACACCAGGGCTCAGGGCTCTGGGTGGGCACAGCCACGCCATCCAGGAACCAGCGGGCATCTCTGGGCATCTCTTTCAGTGAAAGGGGTGAAGGCCTTCCACGTGCTGTCCACTGACTACAGCTACGGCCTGGTCTACCTCCGCCTGGGGCGCGCAGCCCAAAACTACAAGAACCTGCTGCTTTTCCGTGAGCGGGCACAGTGGATGGCAAAGGATGGTGGAGGGAGTGCAGAGAGAGGCATAGAGGGGTGCTGGGCACACGGGGCTGCGCCCGGGGGTGAGGTGGGCAGAGAGAGTGGGGGTTGGGGCGGTGGTCAGGGCAGGGGCAGTGGAAGCTGAGACCACAGCAGGCAGGTCCTGGAGGTCGCTGAAGCAAGGATGGGGGACGTCAGGAAGAGGCTGCAGAGCAGGGTGGGCCATCCAGGTGGCGTGGAGGCCACCAGGATGGTGGCAGGTGCAGGTGCAATGTTCTGCGTGAGGGATGCAGTGGGGATGAGGAGGTACCAGAGGGGTCCCAGGTAGGAGTCTGCCCAGGATGGAGGGGTGTGGAAGTGACCCGGTGTGGGTTAAGGGCCACAAACCCAATTCTAGGCACCAACCACTTGGGGTACAGGGAAAGGAGTGGCCCTCCGGTTGGAAGAGGTCGAGGGGAGGTGGGGTCCTGGGGTCTCAGTCGAGGCGGGGCACGCTCAGGGTGCAGCAAGCCGGGGCACAGCTGGGGGATGGCTGGAGGGTATTCTGCAAGCAGAGAGGGCTCCCCAGGCAACAGCGTGGTGACCCTGGCTTCCCGAGCCTAGCTGCCTCGTAAGTGGGGAAGGACCCAGCGGCCGCTGTCCTCCTGTGGCCGATCCCTGCTTCACACCTAAGCTCTGAGGACATTTCAGCAGCTCCCAGGGTGGGGATGGGGGCCAGGGTGCAGATGCTAAAATGGCCAGAGCTGGAGCCTCTGATGTGATCCTGATCTCAACCTCAGATAGACAGAACGTTTCGAGCTTCCAGAGTCTGAAGGAATTCATGGATGCCTGTGACATTCTGGGGCTCTCCAAGGCCGCTGTCATCCTCCCGAAAGACGGTAAACTGTGCCCTCAGCCTTTTGCCCTCCTGGCCCCACCTGCCCGTCCCACCCAACGGGGAGCTGATTCATTGAGGGAAGGAGAAACGAAAGGACCCATTTGAAAGGTGCCAATTTTTTTTTTTTGAGACAGTCTCGCTCTGTTGCCCAGGCTGGAGTGCAGTGGCCGGATCTCAGTTCACTGCAAGCTCTGCCTCCCAGGTTCACGCCATTCTCCTGCCTCAGCCTCCCGTGTAGCTGGGACTACAGGCGCCTGCCACCACGCCCGGCTAGTTTTTTGTATTTTTTAGTAGAGACGGGGTTTCACGGGTTAGCCAGGATGGTGGTCTCGATCTCCTGACCTCGTGATCCACCCGTCTTGGCCTCCCAAAGTGCTGGGATTACAGGCTTGAGCCACCGCACCCGGCCGAAAGGTGCCATTTTAAAGATCCGCCCAAATATGCCTCCTGCCCCGCCTCCTGACACCCCTGAGAATCGGGGCTTGGCCTGGCAGGCCTTGCACCGACAGCGAGAGGTGCCCGGAGCAGATGCTGCATCTGACCAGGCAGTGCCACGGCTGTGGCTACAGGATTGGGGGCTGCATGGCTGTGTTCTCATGGTGCCCAAGACGAGCACGCGTGGAACCAGGGGGCGGCCGGGGCAGACGTGTTCACGGCTCGTGTTTCTCCTCCGAGCAGCCAACCCACGCATGGTCGTTTTCCTCTCCCACAGCTTCCTGTGCACACACCATCCTGCCATGAGAGCCAGCGTCCTCTGCTCTTTCCTTCTGAAGTGTGGTCCTCCCAGACCCGGGGAGCATTGTTCCAGATGTCAGGTGGAGACCACGGCTTGTTGAGAGGTGTTTGGTGGCTCTAGGTCATTGACAGTGTGAAACTCAAGTGTTTCAAGGGATCCTTTATGATCACAGAAAGAATGAGGAAGAAGGGTACAGGCTGACCGGGTGGCGAGATGTCAGCCAGGCCCCTTCCGCAGTGTCCTCTGGAGCACACTGCAGGCCGCTGCTGTTCCCTGTCTTCCGTGAAATAGACCACAGGCTGGCCCAACGCAGTCCTCGCCATGTGCCTTCCCTCTGCCCTCCATGCCGCCGCCACCCTCTGTGTTCCTTGGCATCCTGCACTTTCTCAGGAAGCCGTTTGCACCCAACATGGAGGAGCCCC